AATATTCTCAATTATCAGTTAGCGTTGTGAATTGGCAGAACAATCCATTGAAGTTAAATTTTTATTCATTGTTTTGCTTTTTCATTTCAATATTTTTTTCTGCAACATGCTTTATGTTTGTTCGTTATTTTCGTTTGAATTCTTTTATTTTGTCCAGATTTAAAAACAAAATAAAAATATCGAACTCCTCGTCCGCGCACGAGGAGATTTAAATAAATAAAAAATATCGAACACCCCGTGCGCGCACAGGGAGAACAAAAATATCGAACTCCCCATGCGCGCATGGGGAGAATCACCGCTATTCCAATAAAACAACGTAGGAAATCTCACGATCACTTCTAAAGCGCTCTCTCTAGAACCCTAATTCAGTTGCCATAGAATCCTTCTCTTCCACCTACCTCCGTCGCTACCACCACCACTCCGATTGTCCCCAAGCCTACTGTCCCTCAGTACCACAGTGAGTCATATTCCTCTAAGTATAATCTTCGCTACTTCAATTTCTTGCTGTTTTTTTTTTTTCCGCAAAACCTATCTCGAGGAAAGCTGTGACTTTGGTAATGAATTGAATTGCAGCGGGTGATTTGCAATGAATTGAATTGTAGTGGGTGATTTGTAATTCGAGCAATAGAAAAAAGAAGGAATTTGAAATCATCTGGGCATTTATTAGAGAGAAACATAATTCAATTGAATCAATTATTTGCTTTAAAAGAATTGAAATGAGTATGTTTCCGAAAGGAGGAGGGCTATCGAGGATTGAAAGGTTGGGCTTGTGATGGCCCCTACTGGCAGAAGTACTGGATTTTATTTCGAAGGAACTAAATGGTATTTCCCATCCCTCCTCCCTCTCTCTGTGTTCAAATCCATTGTATATTTATGAGAATTCAATTTGTTTCTTGATCATCCATGAACGCCAGCGCATGCAGAGGGAGAGACAGATGTGCCAGAGAGAGATGTGACATTCTATTATGCTATGAGTTTTTGTTCTATTATCATAAGAGTTTATAAACTCACGTAATCACTGTTAAGTGAGGAAATCTAACATCTAATTTCTCAGCATAAGTTTCCAGGAGGAGGATAATTAATTTCATATTAACGTGTGCTTGGGTGATGTTATATAGTTCACTGCAATGGAGACTGGAGAGTAATGTTTCTGGGGAGTCTCAGTTCATATGTTCGTCGCCTTCACAGCGACACCGGACGCAGGTCGATTCTCCGTCTTGGTCTTCCTGGCAACACTGAACTGATTTGAATTTACTTGCTGTTTTTCTGAAGCATGTTGTGAATTTAAAGCAATTGGTTCAGCTTTGCTGGTCTGTATAGCATTCTATGTTATTGCTTACAAATGCTCCTACATATTGTTAATTCATCTGATTGGTTGAAAATACTCTTCTGCAACTTGCTTCCAATTGTGCAATTCTATTACCCTGGTTTTTGTTTTAAGAACACGCATAAGCTATTGGAGAAAAATGCTGTTCTAGAGAACTCTCTGTCGACTGCAAAGGTTGAACTTGAAGGTTTGAGGGAAAAGTCAAAGGGCTTAGAAGAGATTTGTCAATTGCTTAGAGACAAAAACTCCCATCAATTTCTTCTTAGACCTCACTCCTTTGCCTTGTCATTTTCACTTCAACCTTCCAAACCCTCGTGTCAGATTACACTACTAATGATGGTGAGTAGTCAATTTTACTTGAAATCATTTTGGGATTTTCATTTTAAGGTTTTATTTGTGTTTCTGCATAATTAAAGTTTGATTTCCTTAAAAATTTACAGGGAAATTTATGTATGTATGCTATTGTAGGTTTCTTGTGCCAGTGATTTTATAATTTGTCTTTAATGGTGTGCACGAGCGGAGATCAACTTGAGAAGGTGGTGGTGACGGAGCAGTTTCCTGCAGGGCTGAGGGTGCTGGTGGTAGACGATGACGTCACATGCTTGCCTATTCTCGACCTACTGCTCCGCAAGTGCATGTACAATGGTAAGTATTCACTGTTTCTCCTTTGCTATTGAATAGAGTATATTTGGCTAAGCTTAAAACTACTTAGAAAGTAAGTTTTGTTAGTAAATTAGTAATTTTTAAAATTATGTTTGGCAAAAAAAAAAAAAAAACTTAGCCAGACCTGCTTAAAGTGTCAAGTATCTGGAAAATTTTGAAACGGAGTCAAAATGGACAATCGATGGGTTTTGAGTTATGTTAAAAGCTTTTTGTTTTTTCGTGCAAATCTGGAGCATAGTGTTTTTGGATGTATTCAAGGTGATTTTTTTTTGCCTTTTTTCAGCTAATCCTTACTTATAATTATGAATTTATGATCAATAAGAGTCTTCAGGTGAGGTTCCACCTCCTAATGCAGTGTAATTTTTGAGGTGGTTTGCATCTTCTACAAACATCATATTGACTAAAAGATACTCCATAAGAAGATATTATGTATACTTGACAGATTTGACGTCTACTACAATGGTAAGACGTTCGTGGTCTGGAAAACTGCTAATTTTGCTAAGGATTTGTTGCCTAATTACTTTAAAAACAGCAATTGCTTCGTTCGTCAGCTTAATACTTTTCTTATTTATATTTTTTGTGGATTTTTTGTCTTAGGGAGGATTGAAGAATAGGAGGGCGAGCCATTTGCAGCAGGGGCAGAAGTTTAATTGCAAGCCATCGAAGAACCGGTTTGTGGTGAAGGGTGTAACTAAGGAAATTGCTATAGACGCTTCAGTTTGAAACATAGTAACATAAAAAGCGCATCTTGTATCCGAGCCACAACAGGAAAGAGATATTCAGGATATGGTTATTTGGCTTGATCTTTCCGTTTCATTTGGCTCACTGACGAGTCTTTCGCCTTACAAGCATATTAACAACATTTATGCAGGTTAATGATCTGCAGCACCTTCTTGGCCTATCTGCTGAATGGCATTCACGCTTGATCCCCTACTATTCCTTTGATCAATTTGTGCACAAGGTGGAACAAGTTGGAATGACAAACTGTGTTAGGGTAAGACATTTTTTACTTTTATTGAAATTTATTGTGCATGTATTATTATTTGTCAGATGCAAACATGCTACCCCTTTTCCTTTTCCCCTGTGCACAGCCATAGTTAAAGCTATTATTGATATGAGCTAAGAATTTGAACTAGGAGAATTGCAAATGCTGTTTATGTTGTGTGCATGCATCAGAGATCGAGGATACTAGACATGAGATCAACATAACATTTTTGTCTTCATGATTGTTAGGTTTTTTTTTTTCATCTTTAGCTAATTTTAGATTCTCAGGGCCTGAATTATTGTGCTCTTCATGAAGCATATGTAAAGGATCGAGATGTGTGTAGAAATGCCAAATCTGAATAAATGATCCTTTCTGTGAGTTCTTTGTAAAACTTTTGAATCATATGAGATCGATAACTGCTTTTCCTGTATGGTCCTGACATCGTAGAAGTTCTAATCCTCTATTTTTCTTTTCTTTTGCGGAGATTTGAAGCTTCATCATAGATCAAACGAAAAAGTTAATGAAACAAGGTTTTTTGGTACGTAAGTATTGATTTTTCTATGAATAGAAAATGCGGTGGTTCGATTTTACTGTATGTTCTCGTTCTGTAAGATTTTTTATTTTATTTGAGTGGGCTATTATTTATTGTGCGAATTCGGTGACTGCTCCGTTTCTCGAAATCGGGGGTTTAAGATTGTTCACAAGAAGTTCGGATTGAAAACCCAATTTTTTTTTCTTTTTTTTTTTGCAATCGCTTGAAGTTATTTTGGTGGCTTCCTCCGATTAGAGTTTCTTTTATGAGCTGTATTTATACTGTCTGCTGCATATGCAAGTTGTTGTTTGTTGCATTTTCTAGAGTCGAATTTCATTCTGTAATCTCTTTCATGATGTTTGGTAGTATGGATGTATTGATTAGACTTTGGAGGTCTATATGCGCTTCAAGATCATCAATCACGAAAGTTTTTTAATTTTATGTCAGTAATTAATTGAACAGCTATTTGAGACTTGAATAATTGCAATGTACTTGTTTGATTGATAATGGTATTAGGCCATGGCCTTGCCCCATACTGAGGGTGATTATACTCACATGATCTTTCCAAATGCATCATCAACCATGTGGAAGGTTGAGTCTAAGTTTTATCTATCAGGATGAAGTTAGAAAATTCCAGACTCTAAAGAATAAGAAAAAAGAATGATAGAAAGAAAAATGGTCTTGGATTTTTTATTATGTTGCTCCTTCCCTTATTTTGTATTGAAATATCATTTTATTTTCTAGCTTGGTTGTAATAATATCCAGCTGTGTATGATTTACTTATATGTCGTTTCATGTAAGTAAATTCTTGAAGTCTTGCATGTTGAGGATCACTGATGATTATTGTGCATATGACTTTCATTTCTAGGAGGGTTTTACATTAATGAAGGGCGAATGTTTAATTTTTGAGTTGTTAATAGGGTATTAAGTTAAGCAATATGTTTAGTTCTAAAGTCGAAAATTTCGATATTTGGAGCTTGATTCATTCAGTATGAGACCAGCGTCCATTTTGTAATATTTTTTTTTTCCTTTAAACCTCATTGCTTGCTTTCTCATAGATGTCTTTATCTATTACATGTTTGGTTAAAAATTATTCAATGTCGTCATTCTTAATGTTGCTTCTGTACTTCATCTTCATCAAGCATTACTATGTGAAACACACGATTATTGATCTTTCCACTGCAAAGCTGAATTTTTTTTCTTGCTTCTTTCGTGTTGTATAATGCAAGGGGTTGTTTTGGCTGCTCATTCGCATAAGAATTTAATCTTGCTGACTTAATGTGTCTTGCCTGTACTCAATTTCTTGTTGATTAGCCTTAGTTGTGGTCTTGGCAGACTTATTACTGGAATTGCTGTCAATGTTTATTGTCATTTGAGCTTTTACTCACATTAACATGCATCCATATGATTCACCTTCGAGACCACAAAAAGAAAAAGAAAAGAAAAACAAAAATTTACAAAATTGTGATATACAATTTTATTAAATCTTGACACTAGTCTTCATTGCAACATTCAACTCCAAACTTTCCCCGTTTGCAAAGACCCCAGACTATAGTTCCATAAAGCATCAAATAAAATTTGATCTTATTTTCACTCAATTGTGTCAAAACATCCATGGCATCTGCCATCCTTTTTGCTCCAATATGACCACGAACAAGAGCTGTATAGCTTTTCTCATTAGGGACTACACCATCTTTCTGCATCACCCTAAAAACTTCTTCGGCTTCCTTTATCTTCCCTTCTTCACATAGTCCATCAAGCAACATCGTGTATGTTACAACGTTTAACTTGACAGCTGCTTCATGCATCTCTTTGACCAAATTACTATAGTAACGTTAGTTGCTATTTAAAAACCTTAAGATTTCAGATTTTTTTCCCCTGGATAATGGCTTTCTTTTCCTTCTTAGCAAATTTCTGGATTTTTTACCATTGAGTTTTCAAAGGGCTGGCAATTGAGGTTTGAATAAAGACTAATGACTTCAGCTTTTATGTGTAAATATTTTGACTTGTAGTATGCGTATTGGTGTATTTTCTTGTTGGTTCTCACCTTATTTAAATTAAGCTTATGTTCTGTTATTTATCTGTAACTCAATTTTTATCCGTTTCGTTCAGTGATTTAGACATATGTTCTTCTTTGTTAGCAATAATGACCAAATATGCCTGCTTTGATTTAAACTTTCTATTTTTAAAAGATTAACGTATGATTGTTTCTAGCCTAACATGTGGTCAGTACTTTTATTATTCAAATCTGTTTCAATACCTCCATGTAAAGAATTATTTTATGTTCTATGTGAAAAGTTATTTGTGTTGTAGGATGGATTTTGTTGTTTCTCACCTAATTGAAATTGTGTTTCCTTTGTCCTGTTTTATTTCTTTTCGGTTGATGGAGCAAAAAAAGAAAATTAACAAAAAATTGTTGAGCCTCGAAGAACATGAATAACCATTGAAGTTCTTCCAACCTATCAGGCTATTGATGAATCCTCATATTCATTTTGTAAGTTTTATCAAATTTCGCTTTTTTTTTTTTTGGGATGAATACTAAAACTTATTTTTTATTTATTAAAACATATTGGAATATGATATGCTGATGTACGTGATCTAACCGTTACTTATGAAACGATGTGTGTTGTGCAGCCATTTTTTTAGAGCTTTTGTTCATCAGCGTGGACATTAGCTTGGTCATATGGGATGTGGGATTGACTATATGGACATAGTTAGGGAAGTTCCAAAAGGTAAATGATTTGTATTTTTTTCTGCCTGGGAGCATTTCTTCGTTGCCACTGGCTCAAAAATAACCGTTCTCTAGGTTATGTATATAATTAAAAATAGGTTTGATCTTCCATTTGTTGACTATCGAAGTTTCATATGAGAACATCTATGAGCACGACGAAGAAACTTCCTCTTGGCAATTCTTCAATTCAAATTAAGCTCAAATCAAGACTTGATACTTGTACGAAGATTATAATTCTTGATATCTCTTGTTGTGCATTCATCATTTTTTAAGTATGTTACATTTATCAGCCACCTCGGCTCGAGTATTTCTTCCACTTAACGATTTGCCATGAAATTGTAATAATGATACGCAAGCATTTATGATAACCATAGAGGAGTCACGTGGACTTGACCAATAAGGCCATGGATGCTGGTTTCTTTGTTTCCTTAATTACAGTCTCGCATTCCCATTTCAAACAACAGGTGTTTCAATTGTTTTAGTTAATTTTGTATTTAACACAAATAATGTTATGATAGTCATTAATGAATTTGTAAGCACCAATTCAAATACAAATTAACTATGGAATTGAATACACCACTCTTCTATCTCTTAACTTGTGCACTTATTATAACTATATTATATTCTCTATTAATCATTACCGTTATATTCATAGTTTTTCTTTGTAGTCAAACTATTTTAAACAGTTGTTATAAGTTTTAGAAAAATTCTTTATTTTACTCCTGCTGTCCATTCTCTTGAATTCCAACTCTTTTGAAAAGCTATCACATTTTTGTTAAAAAAATTTATTGGATTGTGCAGTATAAGCAATTACACCACAAAGTTTGGAACTCTTGTTGCAAAACATTCATGAGTGTCTTCATAGTTCGGATTGGGTAACTCGAAAGACTTTAACTAACTCATTATATGTTCTGGCCATGCACCCAAGCAACTTAACAACTGAATGAGCTGCTTCAACGTTGAATATTCTTGAAGCATGCTGGACAGAAGAAGTATATTCTCCTTTTGTAAACCATCCAACTCTGACATCTTCTACATGTCACTGAATCTTGGCTAAGTTACAGAGCTATTCAATGCCTCACACACCAGCCATGATTCTTCACTTTTTTTTTGTGCTGTAAAGATTTCATAATTTCGTCTTTAAACATTCTGGCTCAATTAGCTGTTTTTATTTGTCATTGATCAACATCTTCACCTTTATTATTAATAATGTTTAGAATTAGAAATAAGTCTTCCCATCTTTTGAGTTGAACTTGGTGTTTAAATGTCTGTTCCTATAAAACTATATTATTGTATCTTTATATTAAAATAATCTTCTTTCAGCTCCGTAGTGCTAAATCTTCATTACATGGACTATTTGTAAATATTTTTCCTACATTGAATATAACATTTCAGTACGAATCATCAACAAATTATCACACAATATATCATATGTAAATTTACTTTGTTCAATAAAGTTCATTTTCCTAATTTCATCTATTATATATACGCTAACATAACCTCAAAAATAAGACAGCCCATGCATTGCATGGGCCTCAACTAGTATATATATAAATGAGATAGAGGGTGTATCATTTTTACTATGATACTTGGGCGTTTGGGATAGAAGATTCTCTAAGGTTATATAATTTTCACACAATGAAAAGATTTGTCAATTTGCTAAGTATACCATTTTTCACCCTAACATTGTCCATATACAGGGTTTCCCAACCAAACTTGCAATATGTGTGACCTTATTTCTATTTAAAAAATAATTGAGAATTCTAATTAAAGTCAACTTAAGAATTTGGAATGCTATTTTAGAATAACATTCAAAGTTTATTTGGCAAATTCTAGTTGAAATTCAATTTGGAAGTCCAATTGGGAGTTTGAAATTTGTGATGGACTTGAAGAGGTTAGGATATGGACAACCGAATTTTTGGACAGCAATTAAGGCAAAGGAACAAGTTTTTCTGAAACTAGGCACCATGATGCCATACTTGTAGTGGTCTAGCGTTGTAGTGGCGCGAGCAAATTGTTCGCTTGCCGCTCGACTAGCGTTGTTGTAATCGAGGACCAACTTGGTTTCCCGTTTTACATGCGTTTTTAGCATCCCGTTCCTTCTACAACACCAAGGCTAGGGTTATGCATGTCTGAAGCTTGTTCATTATATATATTTGGCTCTTATCTACAAGTTAGATATGTGGTCTAACCTTAGTACAAGTTTGAGATTATTTGTAAACACGAATCTTTGTATTCTTTTTCCATATTTTAATAAAATCTCCTTTACTCTTCAAATTATATTGTTCTTCAGTGTTTGTGATTAATTACTTTATATTGTGCTACAATCTCATATTTTCTTTCAACAAATTGATATTAGAACAATTTGATATCATCTTCATTTTCAACACAATGGTATTAGAGCCAAATGCTTGGAACTTCTTGGGAGGTCAAGGTTTTGATCAAGTTAAGAGCTCAGTTTGATCTTTTGTGATGGCAATCATGAAGTACAATATTCTGCTTGTAGATCGTAGCACAAGATTTTCGTTGTGGTAGGTAAAGATGCGAGCAGTACTCATTCAGATGGATTTGAATAAAACATTGTTTTGACAAGATGCCCACAATTTGGATGTCGGAGGAGAAACAATGGAGGGGTAGAAAGGCCCTATATTAGATTCATCTTCATCTTTCAAATAATATTGTTCAGAATATTTTAAAAGAGAATTTTGCCACTGCATTATGGCTAAAATTTGATCAATTATGGATGATGAACAGTCTAACTAGCAAATTGTATCTAAAGTAGGGTCTATATTCTCATCGTATGACAGAAGGTATATCCCTTGAAGATCACCTAACTATTTTTAAAGAAATCGTCGATGATTTAACCTTGGAGATTAAATATGATAAAGACGATTTGGGTTCGATTTTGTTGGGTTCGTTGCTCACTTCATTTATATCGTTTAGAGAGACGATTTTATATAGTCATGATATTCTCACCATTGAAGATATCTAGGATGCTCTATACTCAAAGGAGAAAATGAAGGATCTTGTTATATTTGAGATTTATGGAGATGGCCTCGTCGTTGATGGTGATTGTGCAAGTGCTTAATTAAAGTCTAACTTCAAATTTTGTAATTATTACAAGAAAAATGAGCACTTGATAAATAAGTTGTTATAAGTTGGATAATAAAGAAAAAATGGCTTTAAATCAGCAATCAAAAACTTCAGCAAAAGCCAAAATTGCAAAAATTTACCACAATAATGGAGAACTTTTACTTATTTCTAACTGCAACTCTAAACCTAATGAGAATTGGGTTCATAATACAACTTGCACTTTTTATATGTGTCCCAATCGGGATCTATATTCAACATAAGAATCAGTTTCGAAAGGTGATGTGATAATTGGAAATAATAAACCTTATAAGATAACTGGTATTTGGCTGGGTCAAAATAAAGATATTTGATGGGAAAATTAGAACACTTGATGCACTGAAACACATATCAGATTTGAAGAGAAATTTTATCTTTTTTAGTACTCTTGATTCAAAAATGTACAAATACACTGTTGAAAGTGAATTCTTGAAGGTTAGAGGTTAGTAAAGGACCCATGTTTTGTTGAAGGGACATAAAAAATCTCTATTATATTTCTTGTAGTGTTATATAGAATCTTTGATCAATCAGCATATTTTAAGAACTTAGGTGGGTTTAGATTTGAATTTTTTTTACCATGGAGTCTAGTTTGAGGTCTTCTTTGAAGAATACATTTTAATTGAATTCAGAAGTTATTGGTAATTTTGCTTTGCCCCCATTATCATTAGTGCCATTTTATTTAGGTGCTAATAACATATCCATTTTTTTAATTTTAAGCCTCCACATAGGTAAAATACTGTCGATTTAGTTGATTATGGTTTGAATGTGGTCAAGGATGTTGATTTTAGCCTCCATATTACTCCTTCCTTTGAATGAAGGAATTGTCATCTTGATGTTGCCCATACTTCTATCAATACCATCTCCAACAAGATCTCTATCCCTCCTTCCATGCCTAACTCCTCTATCCCTCATTCTTCCTAACTCGACATCTACCACTGCATCCTCATT